TTTTTTTGTAAACAAATAAAATCTGTTTTTAATGAATTTAACCCGACAAACGGACTTTGCCAACTGTCATCGCAAAACTAAACAGCGAAAATGAGCAAGTTTGTGACCAAACAGGGAAAACAGTTGCTGAGAAATACCATCCAATCTACAAATTCTCAGAATAAGGCAAGTAGAGAGGTCCAGTTTTGCATTAAAACTTTAGCTGTAACGGTATTTACCTTTTTCAGATATTGGAGCAAAATCTGATGTGGAAAGCGCAAGAGAAGAAAGACACAACTTCATATGAAAGGAGAAAACGGACATTAGAAGATCGATATTCTGAGGATGATCATGACGGAGATCAACCGCAAAGTAGCAACAGCAACTACTGGATGAAGAAGCTAATTAAAGAAGAGGAGAAACATCCAGAGAGGTGAGAAACTGCTCATGAACTCATTGCTGCGTTGTCTAACGAATATTATGAATTTACCAAACAGATGGGGACACCACGGATACAAGGAGCTCTACCCTAATGACTTTGAAAGCGACAAATCTGAAAGCGATTCATCAAGTGAACCAAAGAAGGAAAAGACTAAAAAGCGGAAGAAAAAGCTAAAGAAAGAAAAGAAAAGTAAAAAGGCGAAAAAGCATAAGAAACACAGAAGAAAATAACTTTATTCAAATGAATAATATTTACAAATAAGTGTAAATAAATAAATAAATTGAAACAACTAAAACTTGTCAGTAAGAGGAGTGTGTGCATGTGTGTTAGGTATTGCAGCTTTAAGGGGAGACGAGTTAGTTGGGTGGTACTAAAACTTTGTACCAGGCTTTGTAAAAGTGACTCGCTGCGAACCTTTGGCATCGGCGCCACACACAAACACACTTGTTTAGGAAAAGCGAGAAGTTCATTCGGCGCTGGGAGTAGTTGTGGATCGATTACTGAGCAGTGCCAGCGTTTCAGGCGTCGCGTGTGATTTCAGTATTTGAATGTCTGATTCGAGCTCTTTGATGCGCTCCTTTAAAACGTCCACCTCTTCCCGTACTGCAAACATCAGATGGGACTTGACAAGGTCCATGGCTTTTTCAATTTTATCATCTATTGCCACCTCACTCTGGTCGTTGTTTGCCCCTGCAACGGCATTGTGATCACTGCACAGGTTTGGGTCGTCTTCAGGGTTAGGCTGACTATTATTTGCTGGTACTGATCTTGCTATATTTATTGTATTTTGTTGACTTTGGTCGTAGTCAAAACACACCCACCTGCCTCTTGTGTACGGGTGAGAGGAGATGACCTGCAGGAGACAAATTGAAATACACTCAATTAGAACACGTAAAGACAACGTTAAAGCTAAGTTTACTTTTACAACGCGAAACCTAGAATCCGTGAGGGCGTTTCCTTCCATGCTTGATAAGCTTTTCAGGGGATGATAAGTAGAATAGCAGAACTTTAAATTAGAAAGAAAAAAGAAATAGAAAAACAGCGCAGTGGAAGAAAACAAAAATAAGAGAGAAAAATAGTACTGCTCACAGCTTTTCCCACCAGATGCCACACGACCTGGCTAAAACGAAAAGTTTCCATTTATCTTTCCAGACTTTCCCATCGCTGTTCTGTGACTTGTGTTTACAACTTTTCCTCTGAGCTCCTGCATCAGTGTCGAAGCAATCATCTCGCACATCTACTTGGCAAAAACATCACATGACAAATGGATAAAAATAAGAGGTACAGCTTTCATGACGCCACTTCCCTTTTTTCTGAATCAAATCTTTTTCTCTTTCAGGCGAGAGACAAAGACATCAACTCTTATCATTGGTAAGTACGAACATCAACAGTAATGTCGCCACAGCTTTTTCTAAACTCTATTTTTTGTTTTTAGGCTCTGGCTCTCCGGAATCAACAAGTATGCTCTTCCATTGTTTTAATTAGCTTTGTTGACATTTTT